AGGGGACACAGTTTTGATCCCTGCTCTGGGAAGACTCCACATGCCTTGGGGCAACTCAGCCTGCACCCTGCAGCCATTGAACCTGCACACCCTAGAGCCTGTGCTTTGCAACAAAAGAAGCCACTGCAATGAGAAGCCTGTGTACTGTGACTAGAGAGTAGACTGTGCTCACTGCAACTGGAGAAAGCCTGCTAGCAGCAACAAAGACCAGCCAAAAATAAAATAAATAAATTAAAAAAAAAAAAAAAAGGGAAGCAGGAGAGTCACAGAGAGAGAGAGAGAGAGAGTCAGTCAGAGAGTCAGTGAAAATATAATGTGGTGGGTCTTCCCTGGTGGTCCAGTGGCTAAGACTCTGCCCTTCCAATGCAGGGAGCCCAGGTTTAATCTCTGCTCGGGAAACTAGATCCCATATGCTTCAGCTAAGATCTGGTGGTGCAGTCAAATAAATAAATAAATAAAAATAAATATTAAAAAAAATACAATGTTGCTGGCTTCGAAGTTGGAGGCATAAGCAAGATGGAGGATGCAAGGAAAAGAATTCTCCCCCTCAAGACTCCAGAAGAACCCAGTTGCTGACACCTTGATTTTAGCCAAGTAAGACCCATTTTGGACTTCTGACCTTCAGAACTACAGGATTAAAAATGTGTATTGCTTTAAGGCATTCAGTTCAGTTCAGTCGCTCAGTTGTGTCCGACTCTCTGCGATCCCATGGACCACAGCACACCAGGCCTCCCTGTCCATCACCAACTCCCGGAGTCCACCCAAACCCATGTCCATTGAGTCGGTGATGCCATCCAACCATCTCATCCTCTGTCATCCCCTTCTCCTGCTGCCCTCAATCTTTCCCAGCATCAGGGTCTTTTCAAATGAGTCAGCTCTTCACATCAGGTGGCCAAAGTATTGGAGTTTCAGCTTCAGCATCAGTCCTTCCAAATGAACACCCAGGACTGATCTCCTTTAGGATGGACTGGTTGGATCTCCTTGCAGTCCAGGGGACTCTCAAGAGTCTTCTCCAACACCACAGCTCAAAAGCATCAATTCTTTGGCACTCAGCATTCTTTATAGTCCAACTTTCACATCCATACATGACTACTGGAAAAACCATAGCCCTAACTAGATGGACCTTTGTTGGCAAGGTAATGTCTCTGCTTTTTAATATGCTGTCTAGGTTGGTCATAGCTTTCTTTCCAAGAAGCAAGCGTCTTTTAATTTCATGGCTGCAGTCACCATCTGCAGTGATTTAAGGCATTAAGCTTGTGGTAATTTGTCACAGCAGCTATAGGAAACTAATATGCCCTTCCTCCAAACCCCTACTTGCTCAGTTTTTTGTTATTCAGGCTCAATGTCATCTTTTCAGAGAAACTGTCCCTGGCTACTTCAGCTTAGTAAATATTTTTTGAATGAATCATTGAAAATGATTCACTTGACCCTAATCAAGGTTGAAGCAAGAGTTCTCAAATTAACCACCATGGGCAGAACTCACCCTGCACATGTGTCTTATTTGACTGACACTGTGTTTGAAAACTTGTTTGAGACAACATTCATCAGTTGGACAGTTTCCCTCAAACATCTCAATTTCCAGAATCACATGGGACTTTCAGAAGAACCAGGCCTGTCACTCTGTTAGAACTCCCACATCACAGCAGCATCCCAAGGCGTTTCCCCTGACTTGTGTTTTCTGCTTGGCTCAGGGAGCCACTGACTTGGCAACATTGGTATCTCTGTTAAGGATTCCCTAAAAGCAAATATGAAAATACTGGGTTGGCCAAAAAGTTCATTCGAGGTTTGTCTTTTTTGTTTGCTTTTTTCCGATACATTCTTAAAGAAAAATCTGAACAAACTTTTTGCCTAACCCAATAGAGTGCATCAACAAGGAGACAGAAGACACTATGAAACAACCAGATGAAAATGTTAGGACTGAAAAATACAAAAACCGAAGTAAAGGGCTCACTGGATGGACTGAACAGCAGAATGGAGATGACAGAGGAAGAAAGTGAACTTGAAGATGGATCAGTAGACATTCTCCAATCTAAACAATAGAGAATACTGGAGGAAAAATAACCAAGTCTCAGGGACCTGTGAGACAACAATAGGTCTAAATTCATGTCTTTGGAGTCCCAGGAGAGAAAAGGGAATAGGGAGCTGAAAAACTGTTTGAAGAATATTTTCTTGGGAAGCAGAGTGGAGGGACAAATGAGGCGGGGAACAGGGTAAGCTGATAAAAGATGTCCTAATGAGCTGATGCCTTCGAACTGTGGAACTGATGCCTTTGAACTATGGTGCTGGAAAAGACTCCTGAGAGTTCCTTGGACAACAAGGAGATCAAACCAGTCAATCTTAAGGAAAATCAACCCTGAATACTCATTGGAAGGACTGATGCTGAAGCTTAAACCCCAGATTTTGATTGTCTGATGCAAACAGCTGAATCATTAGAAAAGGCCTTGATGCTGGGAAAGATTAAGGGCAGAAGGAGAAGAGGGCACCAGAGGATGAGATAGCTGGATGGCATCTCCCATGCAGTGGACATGAACTTGGGCAAACTTTGGGAGATGTTGAGGGACAAGGATGCCTGGCATACTGCAGGCCATGGGGTCACAAAGAATCAGACATGACTCGGTGACTGAACAGCAACAAAGGAGCTGGCTGTAGCTGTGCCCCCTGGGGTCACTGGGGACCCTCTGAGAGGAGGTGTGGAATGTGCCTCTGAGTTGTACCATCCAGGACTGGTGAAGCTGGATGTCTACCCTCCCATCCCCACCCTTCATGAGTAAGGATTGCTCCTGGGAGCACGGAGAGCCAGGCTGCCAGCCTGCCCCATGCCTGGCCCAGCAGGCCTCTGAGCGAAGTTAGGAAGCCACTGCTGCATTTAGGAGCCATCCATGAGAGAGCTGATGCTAGGACTTCATGGTGGGCTGGGGGATATGGCTGGGTGTGCTGTGCTCAATTGCTCCAATCATGCTCAACGTTTTTGTGACCCTATAGACTGTAGCCTGCCAGGATCCTCTGTCCATGGAATTCTCCAAGCAAGAATACTGGAGTGGGTTGCTTGGCTGGGTGTTATCAGTTGCCTATTGCTGCTTAAAAAATTGCCATACATTTCATAACTTAAACGGCACCATTTATGATCCCCTAGTTTCTGTGGGTCAGGAGTCCAGACACGGCTTGGCTGAGTCCTCTACCCAGTCAAGGTGTTGATCAGGATGTGTTCTCATCTGGTGGCTCAACGGGAGAAGAATCTACTTCCAAACTCTTTCAAGTTTTTGGCAGAAGCCATTCCGTTGCAGCCATGTGATAGAGACTCTGGCTTTCAGAGGGCTTCACCCTCAAAGGGTGACCCTTGCAGCTCCCAGAGGCTGCCCACAGCTCCCTGCCAGGTGGGCTTCCTCAATACAGCGGCCTGCTTCATCGAGCCAGAAAAGCCTCTCCTGCTCTAGATGGCTGAGACAGTCTTCTGTGATATAACCTAATAAAGGAGTGACACGCAACACCTTCATAATATTCTGTTGGTTGGAAGCAAGTCACAGTGAAGGGTGGGTAGTCACACAAAGGCATGGACACTAGGAGCTGGGACTCACTGGGGTCACCTTAAGGTCCACCCACCACAGTAGGGCACTAACAACCTTGGTGTGGGTTGTATGAATTTTAGTTCAGTGCTGTGCAGACTGGCATCGGACCCATGCTTGGCTTTGGCTTTCACTTTCAGCTGCTATGCAGTGAGCTGCCATGGATACAGGGCACTGCGAGTTTCCTAGGAGCAGGTCTGGGGGGCATCAAGAGGTCTCCTTTCTCTCTCCCATTGCCAGCCCCTTCCCAAGTTCACTGTGTGACCTCAGGCAGCTTGCTTGAGAGCTCTGTGCTTTAATGTTCTCGGCTACAATAAAGAGGTTCACAGTGTGGCTCATAGTTGGCTGCGAGGACATAACGTTGGTGAAGGATGTGAGTTCTGACCATGCCAGGTGATCCCCCAAAATAACAACAAAAATAATTATTTTTGTTATTCTCTGCCTCTGCTTCCCAGTGGGCCCCCCTTTAGCTCTCCACAAACACTCCCCCTTTCTGGAGGCATCTTTGCCTCCCTGGATACCATGTGAAGCCTTAGGTGTTTCACCAACAGTGTCTGGGGTGTGAGGGGTGAGCACTGCCCTCTTCTCGGGGACAGAAGTTCTGGAAGTTTCAGATCTGCCCTGTTGTTTCACAATGGAATATCAGGGCCATGAATTTTACAAGGCATTAATATTTATTTCTGACTCTTGCACTCTGTTAGTGTGTAACATTTCCGGGAACAGCCAGCCAGGCCTGGTGATGGCCACAGGTCAGCTGGGCCAGGCCTAGTGCCTTGTCCCAGCACAGAGGCCTATCTCTTCTTTCTCAGGGTGTCTGAGGGAGACTTCGCCATTGCAAGAATCAGGAGCGGGGTGCTCATCTGCTAACTGGGCCACCATTCTGGTGGCCCCTCTAACCTGGGGAGCTATGGTGAGGCCTGGAGGCCCCAGGTGCCACTGAGACGGTGGGGGAGGTGGGGTGCAAGGAATGGGCAAGGAAACACAGCAGTCCAGTGCGGATCGGGGGGTCTGGGGTGACCCACTCCCATCCCCCACCCCTGCCCTTGTCCTTGGAGAGTGTGGTGAGTGAGGTGGCTACAATTTACACACCCAGAGACTCACTCCCCAAATAGCCTCATTCCAGCCCTTCCTTCCTCCCTGTGAGGACCACAAGGCTTTAGACAGGCCACCTGCGTTTGAACTGGTGTCCCCCCACCCCCACCCCACGGGGCCCAGACAGGAAGTCTAGCCTGTTTCCTCACCTGTGGCACGGGGATTATGAATGAGTTAACAGAGCAGGACTTGGACCAGGGAGGGGTCAGTCGCCCTTAGCTGCAGCCCCGTGTCTGTTTTGGTCCACACACATTCAGAGTGAGGTGTGGGTGAGCCCAGGGCAGCAGGACGTGTGGAGCAACGAAGGCACAGGAGACCGGGTCTCCACGACCCAAAGGGCTGACTTTATTTCACCAACAACATCTTGTTTCTCTCCCAGCTCCGGGAAAAGCGGAATTGTTTGAGCAGACACCCCAGCAGAGTCAAGACCGTGCCCACGAGCATCATCACGCTCAGCCCCTTAAGGACAGAGCTGGCTTTTTCTCTCCGGCTCTCCTTTGCCTCTGGTTGTTCTTCAGACTTTCCTGGGCTTAGAAACTTCAGTGGATCCACATTGCTCTGGGAGTTGAATTGAGCTGTGAGCTCTTGCTGCACGAAGCACCTGTAAGTGGCCGGCTGGAAGACCTGCAGCCAGCTGCCACCGTTGGAGGTGTCCATGATGGTGCTGATGCTCTTGCCGGAGAGCTGGTCCTTCCAGGTTAGGGAGAGGTTGTTCGCTTCCCAGAATACGGGCCTGCGAAGGATGACAAGGTCAGTTGCAAAACCCCAGAGAAGGGGAGGGCGGACTGATGTCTGAAAGGAGGTAGAGATGGCAGCACCCTTCTCCCTGGGAAGAGCAAACAGAGCATCCCCCTCCAAGGAGAGCTATGCAGCAAAGGACAAGGGGAAGGTGGGGGCAGGACGGGCAGGAGCTCTCGGAGCCCAGCCCCTTACTTCCCCGGGACCACTTAACTAAATGCCTCTCTGTTTCTTCATCTGAAATCTGAGAGTGTCATGATTGCAGTGACCTCAGAGGGTTATTTGGAGGAATTAGCAAGACACTCCCTAATTGTGTGTGTACCTCTTTACCTGCCTGATCCTATTTCCTCTGCTCTCCCTCATTCACTCTGCCCCAGCCACACCTCCTAGAGGTTCCTCCAATGGCTGGGCACAGTCCTGCCTCAGGGTCTTTGCACTCAGCTTGGAATGCTCTCCCTCAATGCACACAGCTCTCTCACCTCCTCTCAGCCTTGGCTGAATGGCACCTTCTCAGGAACGCTTTCTCTGCTCTCCTTATTTAAAACTTTCACCTCCCCCACTCCCACTCTCCCTCCTTTATTGCCTACTAAAATGCTGGGTTCTTAACCTTGTAAAAACAATTATACTCCAATTAAAAAAAAAAAAAGAAATACTGTGTATTTCATTCATGTCATTGGTTTATCGCTGCATGAGAATAGGTATCTTTTTTGGTTTTGTTCTTCATTGCCTCTCTGGTGTCTAGAGTTTAGATGTTTGGTTTATAAATGCTCAGTGAAAAACGTGATCAGTGAACACATGAATCAGGGATATAACACACCCATCATGGCTGGGAAACAAAAGGGACAAACAACAGACAATAAAGACAAGGTGAAAGATCATAAAAGCAATAGTAACACCTGTTAGTGTGTGGGACCCTGTCGTAAATGTCTTTACTGGCATTTGCTCTCTTAGGGATCACAATGACCCCGAGGCCAGGTCCCCCAAGACCTCTGTACTCCCCAAATTCATGTCCTAACTGGAACCTCAGAATGTGAACTTATTTGAAAATAGAGTTGTTGCAGTTGTAATTAGCTCAGATGAGGTCAGATGGGCATCATGAAAGGAAAAGTCACTCAGTCGTGTCCAACTCTGTGACTCCACGGACAGTAGCCTGCCAGGTGCCTCTGGCCATGGAATTCTCCAGGCCCCACTGGAGTGCATAGCCATTCCCTTCTCCAGGGGATCTTCCCCACCCAGGTCTCCTGCATTGCAGGCAGATTCTCTGCCATTTGAGCCACCAGAATAGGAGTCAGGTGGGCCTTAAATCCACCAGTATAACCTGTATCCATGTAAAGAGAGAGAAGAGGCAGAGACACGAGACACATGGGGAGAACCCCAGCTGGTGACAGAGGCAGCCACTGAGGGTGCGGTCACAAGTCAAGGCAGGCAAAGGACTGCGGCCACCCCCATACGCCAGAAAGAGGCGAGGAAGGGTCCCATCCAGCCTCTCAGAGGGTACGTGGCCCTGCTGACAGCTTGATCTGTCTGAAGAAATGGAAGAGAAGAATTCCCTGCTGGTTGAAGCCACCTGGTTGGTGGTGTTTTGTTACAGTGGTCGTAGCAAACGAATACAACCCATATTCTACAGATGGGGAAACTGAGGCCCAGAGAGGCCACAGGCTAAAGTCACACAGCAGGAAAGTGGCAGAGGCCGGGACAGTTAACCTCATATGAAATGCCCTTCCTCTTAGCTCCCTGGAGACAAAGCAATTCTTAAAGCCTCAGTGACCTCTCTTTTCATGTTCCCTATGATGGGCACCCAGGTGCCCCTTACTTGGCAAATGACATGGAATAGGTATGCGGATCTAGATGGAAGGAGGAGTCACATGCACGTTCACATTTCTGAATTGTGGGCTTTTTTTTTTTTTTTAAGGAAGCAGGTGTTACTTTTATACTTCAAGGAGGAGGAAAAAAGGAGAAAGGGAGACAAAAAGATATGAGAGAGAGAAAAAGAGAAATAAAAAGCTGGCATAAAACTCAGCGTTAAAAAAACTAAGATCATGGCATCTGGTCCTATCACTTCATGGCAAATAGAAGGGGAAAAAGTGGAAGCAGTGACAGATTTTATTTTCTTGAGCTCCAAATCACCGACGGCGGTGACTGCAGCCATGAATTTAAAAGACGCTTGCTCCTGGGAAGAAAAGCTATGACAAACCTAGACAGAATATTAAAAAAGAGACATGACTTTGCCAACAAAGGTCTGTATAGTCAAAGCTAGGGTTTTTCCAGTAGTCATGCATGGGATGTGAGAGTTGGACCATAAATAAGGCTGAGCACTGAAGAATTGATGCTTTTGAACTGTGGTGCTGGAGAAGACTCTTGAGAGTCCTTTGGATAGCAAGGAGATAAAACCAGTCAATCCTAAAGGAAATCAACTCTGAATATTCATTGGAAAGACTGATGCTGAAGCTGAAGCTCCAATACTTTGGCCACCTTAGAGACAACTCACTGGAAAAGACTTTGAAGCTGGGAAAGATTGAAGGCAGGAGGAGAATGGGGTAACAGAGGATGAGATGGTTGGATGGCATCACCAACTTGATGAACATGAGCTTGAGCAAACTCTGGGAGATAGTGAAGAACAGGGAAGCCTGGCATGCTGCAGATCATGGGGTCACAAAGAGTTGGACATAACTTAGTGACTGGACAATAACAACAGAAGTCACAACTGGGATGACCAAAGGAAAGAAAACCAGGTGGAGGCAATGAAGCCAGATTCCACAGAGCTGGTAGTTGTAGAGCCCTCAAGAGCTCAGGCTCCCAGCTTGCAAGGAAAGGGTTGCCACTGGCTAGTGGGGAAGAAGAGCAGGGGGGTCCCCATGGACAAGTATGTGTCATAAGGTCTGTGCTGCCACCTCTCACCATGGATTCCCCCAGGCATTCCTCTGAGCTGTAGTTTCCTCATCTATGAATGAGCCTTCTTGGAGTTCACAGCTCCCTGGGTGAGGGAAGAAGAATGGCAGAGGATGTGGTTTAAGAAGAATGTTTGCCTAGGGACCAGCTTATAGGGTAAGCACTGCACTGTGAGTGGTTGCAGTTCTTATTGTTGGGGTAGTGGCAGTTAGTCGCTCAGTCATGTCCGACTTTGCAACCCCATGGACTGTAGCCCGCCAGGCTCCTCTGTCCATGGAATCCTCCAGGCAAGAATACTGGAGTGTGTAGCCATTCCCTTCTCCAGGGTATCTTCCCCACCCTGGGATCAAACCCAGGTCTCCTGCATTGTATGCTGACATTTTACCATTCGAGACACCAGGGAAGCAGGTGGGCAGGGAAAAACGTGAAGAGGGAAAGATTTCCCAGGGGCTCTAGGCAGGAACCCTTAAGAAGGAATGGCAACCCACTGCAATATTCTTGCCTGGGAAATCCCATGAACAGAGGAGCCTGGTGGGCTACAGTCCATGGAGTTGCAGAGTCAAACACAACTTAGTGACTCAACTACCACGAGGCGGGAAGACAGAACAAGAATGGGAGCTCCCAGGGACACAGGTCATGATAGGCATCCATCTTCTCATCCTAGGCTTGATGATCATTCCACATGAGTTTGAGGACTCAAGAGTCTCACAGCTTCCTGAGCTACCTGCCTCACAGCTCCATCACTTGCCTGAACTTCTCCCATTCCAACCCTGACCACCCTGGTCCATCTCCCCGCCTGGCCTAGGGGCTTCCTAAGGACCAGCACAGCAGCAGCAAGGACCAGATGTGCAGCTACCTGATGACCACCACATCCACAGCACCACCCCGTGCAGATTGGGCCTAGTCAGCCGAGTGCTCCCTGGGTACTAGCTCTCCTCATTCTATCTGTGTGTGGCTCAGTGGACACCAAGAGGAATATCCAAAGAAGCCCAAGGAGAGACACTGCGGTGCTGATTATTGACATAGAATCCCTCCCTCTCTGCGCAGATTAACCACAAAGGCTCCCAGATGGGGAGAGCCTGGCAAGGGGCCAAGGGCAGGGCTGGTACCGATTCCGTCACCTGTAGATAGATCCTAAGGGGCAGGTGAGCCACGCAGATCCCATTTTGTTTCTAAGCTGGAAGTTGTCAAAAATGATATATTTCATATCTATGAGTGTACATGGGATGTGGCAGGTTTCCACCTGCATCTCAGGCCTCAAGCGGCTGGACCACAGCTTTACATCTCCCAGATAGAGCCAGCAGGGCATGGGGTTTTCCGGGGACTCTTGGATGTAGCAGTACCCCAGGCGTTTGCGTTCACCGGGCACCCCACAGCGGTTACAGTCCTGCCAGGGCTCCCAGTGGGTGAAGATGAGCTGCTTGCTCCCCAGACTCAGGCTCTCATTCTGCAGGGGCTTTTGGTCCAAATCTTTGTGTGTAATATGTAGGCTGACGACATCTTGGAAGTCAATTTCATACTGCACCACTTTCTTGCCATCCTTGTCGCTGCAGTGATAAAAGCCTGTATGGTAGGGTAGTGGATTTGTAATGAAAAGGCTGCCATTGGGCATTATTTCCATGTTGAGATTGGTAGTGGAATTGCTGACCCAGGTGGTCTTGAGTGGCAAGAAGAACCGCCACTGTGCCCCAGGGGCATTGCACTGCAGGATGATATCATTGTTTGAGAGCAGGGCCAGTTGACAATGCTTGCGATTAGGACAGCCGATAGAAAAGGACGACTCCTGGACCGGGAGAGCAAAGCAAAGCAACAGCCACAAGGTTGTCAGCATGGTGGACTGGGCCTGTGGAAGTGGGCCGGGCCCCACCCTAGACATTGTGAGGTCATCCACAGACCTCAGGCTTCAGCCCTGACGGCAGGAAGAACTGTAGTTCACCCCCGTGGGGTGTGAGGTCACAATTCCCACATTTGTCCTGTGATAAGTTAGCAATCCTATTTCATTTCTCTTCCAAGCCTTCCACTCTGCTGGGGTAGAAGGACACAACTTGTCTATTCAGCATTTTCTCTATCACCTCCCTATTTTGGTGTTAAACTGACACATATGAACATTCAACACATTTTTTTCTGAACACATGGGCTTTGTTCAGGGTCTTCCCCGGTGGCTCAGGCAGTAAAGAATTTGCCTGTAATGCAAGAGACCTGGGTTCAGTCTCTGGGTTAGGAAGATCCCCTGGATAAAGGAATGGCAACCCACTCCAGTATTCTAGCCTGGAAAATCTCATGGACAGAGGAGCCTGGCAAGCTACAGTCCATGGGGTTGCAAAGAGTCAGACATGACTAAGTGACTAAGCTCACATGCCTCCTAGTATGTTCTGGGCACACTTGCGAGTGCTGAGAATGGAGAGGTGAATAAATCCTCTCTGGCTCCCTTCTGACCTCCTACCCTTCCCCACCCAACTGCTCCAGCCATGCTGGCCTCCTGACTGTCCCCTGAAGATACCAGGCAAGCAAAGAGCCCCTGCCTTAGGATCGTTGCACATGCTGGTCCTCCCACAGATATCTGCAAGACTCAACTCATTTTAAACAAATATATTTTTTTCTTGGTGGCCCCTTTCCCAGATTCTTTCCTAAACTCCTCAGCCAAAAATAAATAAAATATTGAAAATCAAAATCACCAATAGAAACACAAAAATGCCCAAAACATGGCACTAAATAGACCATGAAGAGGAGCATACTTGCTAACACAGTCTGGGAACTGAAACCAGAAGGCAGAGTGTCACCTTGTGTGGCCTTGGCTGGGAATGTGCGTTGTTGGGTGACTCAATTTTCTTGCCACTCTGTGCATGTCTGCAAATGAATATGACTGTGGGTACCAACTTGGGGGTTACAAACAAATTTTAGTGAGTAGGTGAATTCATAAGTGTGGAATCCTTGAATGATGATAATCAGTTCAGTTCAGTTCAGTCGCTCAGTCATGTCCGACCGTTTGCAACCCCATGGACAACAGCACGCCGGGCTTCCCTGTCCATCACCAACTCCTAGAGCTTGCTCAAACTCATGTCCATCGAGTCAGTGATGCCCTCCAAATATCTTGTCCTCTGTTGTCCCCTTCTCCTGACTTCAATCTTTCCCAGCATCAGAGTCTTTTCTAATTAGTCAGCTCTTTGCATCAGGTGGCCAAAGTATTGGAGCCTCAACTTCAGCATCAGTCCTTCCAATGAATATTCAGGATTGATTTCCTTGCAGTCCAAGGGACTCTCAAGAGTCTTCTCCAACACCACAGCTCAAAAGCATCAATTCTTTGGTGCTCAGCCTTCCTTATGCTCCAACTGTCACATCCATACATGATTACTGGAAAAACCATATCTTTGACTAGAAGAATCTTTGTTGGCAAAGTAATGTCTTTGCTTTTTAATATGCTGTCTAGGTTGGTCATAGCTTTTCTTCCAAGGAGCAAGCATCTTTTTAATTTCATGGCCACAGTCACCATCTGCAGTGAGTTTGGAGCCCATGAAAATAAAGCCTTTCACTGTTTCCATTGTTTCCCCATCTATTTGCCATGAAATGATTGAACTGGATGCCATGATCTTAGTTTTTTGAATGTTGAGTTTTAAGCTTAAGATTTTTCACTCTCCTCTTTCACTTTATTCAAGAGGCTCTTTAGTTCCTCTTTGCTTTCTGCCATAAGGGTGGTGTCATCTGCACATCTGAGGTTATTGATATTTCTCCCAGCAATCTTGATTCCAGCTTGTACTTCAACCAGCCAAGCATTTTGCATGATGCACTCTGCATATAAGTTAAATAAACAGGGTGACAATATACAGCCTTGATGTACTCCTTTCCCAGTTTGGAACCAGTCCATTGTTCCATGTCCGGTTCTAACTGTTGCTTCTTGATTTGCATACAGGTTTCTCAGGAGGCAGGTAAGGTGGTCTGGTATCTCATTTCTTTAAGAATTTTCCACAGTTTGTTGTGATCCACACAGTCAAAGGCTATAGTGTAGTCAATGAAGCAGAGGTAGATGTTTTTCTGGAACTCTCTTGCTTTTTCTTTGATCCAATAGATGCTGGCAATTTGATCTCTGGTTTCTCTGCCTTTTCTAAATCTAGCTTGTACATCTGGAAGTTCTCAGTTCACATACTGTTGAAACCTGGTTTGGAGAATTTTGAGCATTACTTTGCTAGCGTGTGAGATGAGTGCAATTCTGCAGTAGTTTGAACATTCTTTGGCATTGCCTTTATGTGGGATTGGAATGAAAACTGACCTTTTCCAGTCCTGTGGCCACTGCCAAGTTTTCCATATTTGCTGGCATATTGAGTGCAGCACTTTCACAGCATCATCTTTCAGGATTTGAAATAGCTCAACTGGAATTCCATCACATCCACTAGCTTTGTTCATAATGATGCTTCCTAAGGCCCACTTGACTTCACATTCCAGGATGTCTGGCTCTAGGTGAGTGATCACACCATCATGGTTATCTGGGTCATTAAGTTCTCTTTTGTATAGTTCTTTTGTGTATTCTTGCCACCTCTTCTTAATATCTTCTGCTTCTGTTAGGTCCATACCATTCCTGTCCTTTATTTGACCCATCTTTGCATGAACTGTTCCCTTGGTATCTCTAATTTTCTTGAAGAGATCTCTAGTCTTTCCCATCCTACTGTTTTCCTCTATTTCTTTGCATTGTTCCCTTAGGAAGCCTTTCTTATCTCTCCTTGCTATTCTTTGGAAGTCTGCATTCAGAGGGGTATGTCTTTCCTTTTCTCCTTTGTCTTTTTCTTTCCTTTTCTCAGATATTTGTAAGGCCTCCTCAGACAGCCATTTTGCCTTTTTGAGTTTCTTTTTCTTGGGGATGGTTTTGATCACTGTCTCCTGTACAATGTGACAAACTTCCGTCCACAGTTCTTTAGGCACTCTGTCTATCAGATCTAATCCCCTGAATCTATTTGTTACTTCCACTGTATAATCATAAGGGACTTGATTTAGGTCATATCTTAATGGCCTAGTGGTTTTCCCTACTTTCTTCAATTTAAGTCTGAATTTTGCAATAAGGAGTTCATGATCTGAGCCACAGTCAGTTCTCAGTCTTGGTTTTTCTGACTGTATACAGGTTCTCCATCTTTGATTGCAAAGAATATAATCAATCTGATTTCGGTATTGACCATCTGGTGATGTCCATGTGTAGAGTTGTCTCTTGTGTTGCTGGAAGAGGGTGTATGCTATAACCAAAGCATTCTTTTGGCAAAACTCTGTTAGTCTTTGCCCTGCTTCATTTTGTACTCCAAGGCCAAACTTGCCTGTCACTCCAGGTTATCTCTTGACTTCCTACTTTTGCATTCCAGTCCCAATGATGAAAAGGACATCTTTTTTGGGTATTAGTTCTAGAAGGCCTTGTAGGTCTTTATAAAACCATTCAACTTCAGCTTCTTTGGCATTAGTGGTTGAGGCATAGACTTGGATTACTGTAATATTGAATGGTTTGCCTTGGAAACAGAGATCATTCTGTCATTTTTGAGACTGCATCCAAGTACTGCATTTTGGACTCTTTTGTTGACTATGAGGGCTACTCCATTTCTTCTACGGAATTCTTGCCCACAGTATGTAATGGTCATCTGAATTAAATTCGCCCATTCCAGCCCATTTTAGTTCACTAATTTCTAAAATATCAGTGTTCACTCTTGCCATCTCCTGTTTGACCACTTCTAATTTACCTTGGTTCATGGACTTAACATTCCAGGTTTCTATGCAATATTGTTCTTACAGCATCAGATTTTACTTTTCACCACAAGCCACATCCACAACTAGGTATTGTTCCTGCTTTGGCTCAGCCCCTTCATCCTTCTGGAGCTATTTCTCTGCTCTTTTCCAGTAGTATATTGGGCACCTACTGACCTGGAGAGTTCATCTTTTAGTGTCATATCTTTTTGCCTTTTCATAGTGTTCATGGGGTTCTCAAGGCAAGAACGCGGAAGTGGTTTGCCATTCCCTTCTCCAATGGACCACATTTTGTCAGAACTTTCCACCATGACCTGTCCGTCTCGGGTGGCCCTATATGTCATGGCTCATAGTTTCATTGAGTTAGACAAACAAAACCTCGTGCATACCAGGACCAAGGGAAAGGGGCAGTGACCCCCACGAGAGACTGAGCCAGACCTGCCGTTGAGTGTTTGAGTGTCTCTTGCTGAGGCATGGGTCAGCAGTGACCTGCCGCTGGGACAGGGGCTCTGGCTGCAGCAGACCTGGGAGGCATGGCGTGTGGCATAAGTCCTCTTGGAGGAGGTTGCCATTAGTGCCACTGTATAGCCACCAAGCAGACGGCCCACAAACTGGAGAACATTTATATCAAAGAAGTTCTTCCACTGTTGCAAAAGTTCTAGGTTCCACAACGTATTTCTCAACCTGGGGATCTGGAAAAGGACTCAGAACCCCCAGGGAAGCAGACCCTTAGAGAGCACAACAAAACCTCATGTGCACCAGGACCCAGGAGAAAGGAGCACTGACCCCAAAAGAGACTGAGCCAGACCTGCCTGTGAGTGTCCAGGAGTTTCCGGCAGAGGTGCGGGTTGACAGCGGCCTGCCACCGGGTCAGGGGCACTGACTACAACAGTCCTGGGAGCTGCGGCATGCTGGCATAAATCCTTTTGAAGAAGGTAGCTATTACTGCCATCACCCCTACCATAGTTTGGCCAGAGAAGGGAACATAGTCCCACCCATCAGCAGAAAATTGGGTTAAAGATTTACTGAGCATGGCCCTGCCCACCAGAGCCAGACTCAGTTTTACCCACAGCCAGTCCCTCCCATCCCATGGGATTGAAAAGAGTCAGAGAGGACTGAGCGACCTTCACTCAGTCCTTCCCATCAGGAAGCTTTCACAAGCCTCTTATCCTCATCCATCAGAGGGCAGACAGAATGAAAACCACAATCACAGAAAACTAACCAAGCAATGCCGTATATAAATGCCAAATATATTTTTATATACAAGTAATTAGAAAATGAAATGTAAAAGATGCAACTTGCATGAACAAATCAAATACAAGGAACAGATATAATAAAATACATGTAAAACCTCTACATTAATAACTACTTGTTATTGGAAGAAATAAAAGAAAGCCTAAATAATGGAAGTGTTTACAATGTTCACGGATTGGAAGACTAAATATTGTAATATATTGATTTTATCTTTAGATTCAATGATGTGCCAATTTAAAAAAAAAGATGTCTTTTGGATGGAAACCACAAGCTGATTTCAATTTTTTTTTTTTTATAAAAAGTAAAGAATAACCAAGACAATCTTGAAGAACAAAGCTGAAAAATCTATACTACCGATATCATGGGTTATTATAAAGGTATAATAATTAAGTTACTGTAGCACTGATGCAAGGATGGATAGACAAATTGTATCAGTCAGAGTCTAGTGAGGAGATAGAAATCACAGTAAAGTCTATGTTGGCATGAGCATGGGCCAGAATGTCTTGGTTTCTAGGTTTCGTATTTGGTCTACCCATGAATAACAGGTGCCTATGAGGGCAGAGATTAGGTCTTTGTTGGTCACCACTGTGTCCCCAACATCACCTGCCTAGGATGTGGCTCAGAAGTCGCAGTTGGGGATTCTTGCTGAATGAACATCTGAACAAGCCAGTGAAGTGATCCCTTCCTGCACAGGTTGACCTTGAAGGCTTATGGGCTGAAAGACAGACCCTGCTTTTCTATTGGAGTGTAACCCCTGGCCGAGGTGAACACAAGAAACAAAGCCTGGGTGGGGGTCAAAGGCAGGGCTGACGCCTGGGTCCAGTCACCTGTAGATGGATGCCAAGGGGCAGGTGAGCTCCATGTTGTTGGTTGACTGGCCCAATTTGGAAATGTCAAAGGTGAAGAACGGCTGGATGATCTCCTTGCTCTGGTTGCAGGGTACAAGGCAGGCTTCCACCTGCATCTCAGGCTGCAAGCGGCTGGACCACAGCCTCACATCTCCCAGATAGAGCCAGCAGGGCATCGGGCTTTCCAGGGACTCTTGGATGTAGCAGTACCCCAGGCGTTTGCGTTCACCTGGCACCCCACAGCGGTTACAGTCCTGCCAGGGCTCCCAGTGGGTGAAGATGATCTCCTGTCTACCCAGACTCAGGCTCTGATTCTGCAGAGGGTTTTGGCCTAGTCCTTTGTGGGTAATATGTAGCGTGGTGACATCTTGGAAATCTATCTCATATTCTACCACAAGGGCTGTGTTACTGTCCTCACAGCGATAGAGGCCTGTCTGGGAGGGCTGAGGTTTGTTCAGTTGGAGGCTGCCCCCAGGCAGTTTCTTTATGTTAGGCAGTGAGGAGACCAAAAAGGGATCTTCCCCCTGAAAGGAAGAGAAGTACCAGGATGCCTTGAGATGGTCACACTGCAGGACAACATCATTGCCCGAGAGCAGGGCCTGCTGGCAGAGACTCTTATAGGCACAGGTGACTAATAGCTGGGCACACAGAACAGGGAGAAAAAGGCTAAGCAGCCACAAGGTTGTCAGCATGGCTATCTACATACAGACTACAGAAGGAAGCTGGGAACCATGGGGGCATTGTGAAGTCACCCACAGAACTCAGGCATCATCCCTGGGCAGCGGAATGGACCCTGACCCACTGCACTTCCAGGACTCCAATTCAGTTCACGTCATCAAATACCTTAGAGTCAAAAACTAAAATGACCACAAAAGCTGGGCAGGAAACATGAGTGAACCTATGTCAGAACAAGTGAACTATAAAGTCAAATTATTTATCCTTCACCTATTCACTCAATAGACAATGATGGAATGGGTCAAAATGTATAATTGAGAAATCACTGGTTTCCTGTTTTGTAAATTGGGAGGGTTCCTTAATTAGCACCAAATCAGTTCCTTGAGGGGCTCCCCTGGTGGCTCAGCAGTAAAGAATCTGTCTGAAATGCAGGAGACATGGGTTTGATCCCTGGGTGGGAAAGATCCCCTGAAGGAGGACATGGCAACCCACTCCAGTATTCTTGCCTGAAGAATCCCATGGACAGAGGAGCCTGGCGGGCTACAGTCCAAGGGGTTGCAAAGAGTCGGACATGACTGAAGCGACTGAGCATGCACCCACAGCTCCTTGAGGGTGGGGAACTTCCCAAATCTTTGTTCACTGTGGCTTATGTCTTCACTCCCCAGGAGTTATCCCCTTTTCCATTATCCTCCTCGGCTACATCTCAGGTGGCGCCGGACAACGTGCCCTCCTTGGCACATGAGTTTCTCAGCCTATTTTCTGTGTCCCAAAGTGTGGGACCTAAGAATTCTTACAAGCCTCCAGTCAACTCCATGTGTTCTGTTCAAGATGTTCCTCATCTCTCACTGCATGTAACTTAGACTCTATCAGGCATCCGGCGAAAGCCAGATTCTAACCCATTTTGTCTGCCTCAGACTATCCTACATGTTTCCTGGGAGTACCTCAATTTATTTACAGATAGTAACAATGGTTGAAAGTGAAAAGTGAAAGCAAAACTCGCTCAATTGTGTCCGACTCTTTGCAACCCCATGGACTATACAGTCGATGGAATTCTCCAGGCCAGAATACTGGAGTGGGTAGGCTTTCCCTTCTCCAGGGGATCTTCCCAACCTAGTGATCAAAACCAGGTCTCCCTCACTGAGGGTGGATTCTTTACCAGTTGAGCCACAAGGGAAGCCCAAGAATACTGGAATGGGTAGCCTATCCCTTCTCCAGTGGATCTTCCCAACCCAGGAATCGAACCAGGGTCTCCTGCATTGCAGGTGGATTCTTTACCAACTGGGCTATGAAGGAAGTTCAACACAACAATGGTTAGTAATGATTTAATTGGTACTAATCCTTTATTTTTATCTTTGACAAAAGCCGGGTTCTAATTGGACTTTGCCTCTCAAAGGTCTTCCCAATTTGGGGCCAACTTTGGTCAACATTCACTTCTAGTGTCCTGCATTTCAACTGCTTCCCCTAAAGCTGCACATATCAATAAGTATGTTATCTGCTTCCCAAAGTATCTCTCCATCCTTCTGGTTTCAAATAAGTTTTCTTGTTCCCTTTGCACAGTATCTAAGCCAATGGCATGTGTTTTTATTTTTTATTACATCAGCACCCCACTCTTGATTCTAATTTCTGTTTCACTCCAGATAGGCTATTTGCTATTATAATACTTCACCCAAATCTCAATGACTTACAATCACACAAGTTTACTTCTCATTCATGCTCCATGTCCCTTGTGAGTTGACATTATAATCACTCGGGCACACAGGATGATTGAGCAACAGCCATCGCAAACATCTCCAGTTTTATGCCAGAGGAGGAAAAAAGATAGCTCTGTACTATTTCATACCCATAATTAAATGCTCTAGCCTTCAGTGACACATGTCATTCACTCACAGACCATTGGCCAGAAATGATTACATGGCACCAGCATTTCCCAACACAGGAAATGAAATTCTGCTATGTCCAGGAAACATTTAGTAAACAGCCATCAGTAATATCTACTACAAGGAGTGTTCTTTTATATGCTATGCTGTGCTAAGTCACTTCAGTCGTGTCTGACTCCTTGTGACCCTAGGGACTGTAGCTTGCCAGGCTCCTCTGTCCATGGGATTCTCCAGGCAAGAATACTGGAGTGGGTTGCCAATCATAAAGTTAATGTTGTTGTTGTTATTCAGTCACGAAGTCGTGTCCAACTCTTTGTGACCCCATGAATTGCAGCATACCAAGCATCCCTGTTCTTCACTATCTCGTGGGGTTTGTTCAAACTCATGTCCATTGAGTTGGTGATGCTATCCAACCATCTCATCCTCTGTCATCCCCATCTCCTCCTGCCCTCAATCATTCCCAGCATCAAGGTCTTTTCCAATGAGTCGGCTCCTTGCATCAGGCGGCCAAACTATTGGAGCTTCAGCATCAGTCCTTCTAATGAATATCCAGGGTTGATTTCTTTAGGATTAACCTGTTTGATCTCTTTGCAGTCCAAGGGACTCTCAAGAGTCTTCTCCAACACCACAGTTCAAAAGCATCAATTCTTTGGCACTCAGATTTCTTTATAGTCCAACTCTCACATCCATAGATGATCACTGGAAAAACCATAGCCTTGACTAGACAGACCTTTGTTGGCAAAGTGATGTATCCACTTTCTAATATGCTGTCTAGGTTTGTCATAGCTTTCCTTCCAAGGAGCAGGGGTCTTTTTATTTCATAAAGTTAATGCCATTCCCCAAATCCTCCCGTCAGATCTCTCCTCAGGTTCTGTTGGCTAGAATTAGGTCCCATGTACAGGTCCAAATCTGTCTCTGAGAGGAAAGAAAATTTCTAAGATTGGCTTAAGACCATGAGAATTTGTTCTCCAGGATTAGCAAAGTGTAACCTTTAGAATTTTCCATCAGAAAACTGCACTTGTTATAAAGCTTTCAAGAGATTATTGATGTCAAATTCTTGGAACAGCTGGGTCTGGATTACTTAGATGGTGGTTAATTAGTAGGAATGTGGCCAAGTGGTTTCAGTCCCAGGCTCTGGGATCAGTTTTTCATTTCTTGATTCATCTTTTATTAGAATAATCCATGCTCAGCAACTTCACCTTCTCGTGCCTGGCATATCCATTTATTCCATAAATAAGTATTGCTTACTCATCTTGCACCAGGCACTAAGGATTCAGGCTAAGTCCCTGGCCTCTTGGAGCTTACATTCTAGTGAAGAAGATATTAACTGGGATAAGTTCAGACATGCTGTGTAACAGAAGAATTCTGGGATCTCAGTGGCTTAACATTTTTTTTTTTTTTTTTTTTTGCTCACCCTATATGTCCAGTGTGGGTTGGTAGAGAATTCCACTCCACACAGTTGCTTCAAATACCATGGCCAATGGAGGCTGCACCATCTGCAGCATCATTAGCTGCTATGGAATGGGAAGAGAGGGAAGTGAGTTACACACTGGCCCTTAAACACTTTGACCTGGGAGGGATCTACATTACTTCTGTCTGCAGGCCATGAAAAATGAATCACATAGCTCCACCTAACTGTAGAGGGCCTGAGAAATGTAGGGGACCATGTGGAATATTTGCTGAGCAATATTATCTTTACCTGGGGGAAAAATAGATGGTAACAAGTAAATGACGAACACAACATCAGGTCATGGTAAGTGCTCTGAAGGAAAAAAAGTAGGAAGGACAGAGACTTTGACGAGCGGAATCGTGTCCTCCCCAATTCGTATTTGGAATCCCTAACCCCAATACCTTAGAATGCGTCTCATTTGGAGATAGAGCCTTTAAAGAGGTAATTATGTTTATTTGTTTAACAACAATCTGTTTATTGATTGGCTGTGCTGGGTCTTGGTTGCTGCACACGGGCTTTCTCTAGTTGCGGTAAGCAGGCTCTCCTCTCCAGTTGCGATGCATGGGCTTCCCCTTATGGTGGCTTCTCTTGTTCAGAGCACAGACATTAGGGTGCCCTGGTTTCAGCAGTGCAGAGAATGGGCTTAATAGTTGTGGTTCAAGGACTCCAGAGTACAGCCTCAGTAGTGGTGATCACGGGCTGGCTTAGTTGTCCTGGGGCACGTGGAAGGAATCTTCCTGGACCAGAAATCAAACCCACGTTCCCTGCACTGGCAGGTGGATTCTTAACCACTGGACCACCAGAGAAGTCCCCAGGGATTTGATTTCACCAGGGAAGTCCAAGGTAATTAGGTTTAAATGCAGTCGTTAGGGTGGGTCTTAATCCAATATGAGTGGTGTCATTTTAAGAAGGTGGCTTCCCCGGTGGTGCTAGTGGTAAAGAACTTTCCTGCCAAGGCAGGAGAGGAAAGAGACAGAGGTTCAGTCCCTGGGTCTGGAAGATCCCCTGGAGGAGGGCATGGCAATCCACTCCAGTATTTTTGCCTGGAGAATCCCAAAGACAGAGGAGCCTGGCAGGCAACAGTCCATAGTGTCGCCAAGAGTTGGACAGGACTGAAGAAGCTTAGTATGCACGCACGCACACACACCTCATAAGAAGAGAAGATTAAGATACAAACAACACAGCCGGAAGGAGGACCATGTGAGGACAGAGTAAGAACGAGGGCGCTGGAGCGGTGAGTGGTGGCTGTGCGGCACTGGAGGGGCAAGGGGCCGAGAGGAGAGAGCTCACGTCCAAGATCACAGAAACCCCAGGAAGACGGTGAGCGCTGAGTAAAGGCATCAGAGGGCGGGCAGACAGAAATTACAATCATAGAAGACTAACCAGTCTGATCACATGGACTACAGCCTTGTCTAACTCAATGAAACTATAAGCCATGCGTGTAGGGTCACCCAAGACGGACGGGTCATGGTGGACAGTTCTGAGAAAATGTGGTTCACTGGAGAAGGGAATGGTAAACCACTTCAGTATCCTTGCCTTGAGAACCCCATGAACAGTATGAAAAGGCAAACAGATAGGACACTGAAAGATGAACTCCCCAGGTCGGTAGGTGCCCAACATGCAACTGGAGATCAGTGGAGAAATAACTCCAAAAAGAATGAAGAGATGGAGCCAAAGGAAAAACAACATC